TCCTCAAATCGATACGCCGTCTGGAGAATGACACTCATTTCAGATATGTGCTCATATTAACAGGTTCAGTCAGTGGAAAGGACCATGGTGCAGATGGCTGAAATACTTGCGGGAGTGTTTATAAGATGGAATGCTTTGCAAAATCTCAAGAGCAGTTGTTAGATTGTCATGTCTGACTGTGAGATTTGAAATAGCAAAGCTGTTGGAAGGCAACAATTTTGGGGCAGATAAAAAAAAATCATCTCCAATTAATGTTCATTCCTACATTATTTTAAAGTGTTTAGAGAGATTAGAATTACTTGGGGAATATACAGGGAAAATCTGGGCTGCTTTGATGTCAGAGATTAGGTTTATTATTGTGATACTGCCAATATTTCTTGTGATTTAGATGTATTAGGTGATTCATCCTGCACTGAGGTCTAGCCTAGCAGTCATCAGCAATCTCCAACAATGGCTTCTCATGGTGAACATGAGGTACTCCAGTTGAGCTACATACCTTTCCTGTAGTCATTTACTAGTGTAGCGGGAAAGGGCTGTGCGCGCACTTCCCAGGTTCCTATTATCCATCACAACAAATGGGCAGAGTTGGCTTATCCATGCAGAGGCTTTGAGCAACAAGCACTGACCCTGGGAAGGTGTGGAGAACCACTGTCACTATGGTTCAGGGGGAATGGCAGAACAAGCTGAGAAACAGAGTACCCTGCTTCCTCAGCCCCCTTGAAGCCATTTGGCTGCTCTTTACTCTGACACAACAGCACCACCCTCTCAGAGAGAGGCCCATGTCTGCCTCTTTCTGTCAATCACAAAATCACACACTTCTCATGCAGCTAAAGACATGGCCTGGCTCAACTGAGAGCCAGCATACAGTCACTAACCCAGGTCTTTTGCAGCTGAGGGGTGTATGAATGACACAGGCTCTTTTACATTAGAACAGTGACTTTATTTGGAAAATGGATGAAGAGGAAAGTTGCATATAACTGCTTGCATGGGAAAATGGAAGCATGGAAGGATTTCAAATACATGGGATGGTGCAAAACAGAGTTAAAGTAACAAAATAAGTTAATGTGACCTATTTAAATTGATTCCCTAGAATAATGGCTTACATTTCTTTGTGGATCCCAAGCAATATCAGCTTAACATGGGCCTGTCCGACAAGGAGCTCCTCTTCTTTTGCTTGCTCCAGGAAAAGGCAGTAGTAAATCTCTCCTCAGGTTTTTATTAGCTTTACTTTTATCACACCCTTTTGCATAGATAGGTGCTCTTTTCCTGCTCTGGCTGGGGCTAAGTCAACGAGGTGATTACTTTTTGAGGAGAGATCCTATCCTGCTCTCTGGGGCTTTATGATTTCCTGTCCTATTCCCTCTCTAACTAAAGTCATTGCCTGAAGGGATAGCCTGATTTCAAGCATAATTAGTAATAAGAAAATTATGGGGACCAGGATGACAACATTTCTCATGTTCGACCCCCCCATTCAGGGCACAGATGGGCCAGCATGATCTATAATGCAAAGTTGTTGTGAAGATAAAATACAGCAAAGGAGAATCATATATACCACTCTGAGTTCCTTGGAGAAAGGACAAGGTAAAACTGTGACAGACAAATATGGATACAGACTTAAGAGTTCATTAGCCCATTCCTTTGTTCACTGTTAGAGGGCTCTGTATAAATACAGGCATATTTTAGAGAAAGGTACAAACAAATGGCAGCTTGCTGTGCTGTTAATTTGGTGCTGCATTAACCGATTAAAAATATAGAAAGCATCCCAGGAAGTTGTAGAACACCAGAGTTGTAACTCAAGCACACAATGCCTGTCAGTTTTCTGGCCCTTTGGTTCAGAGTAGGGTAACAGTCTGATGTTGGCTTATAGTCGACACTGCTTATCCTGTGACAAATTTAAAATCATAGAATCACAGAGTTGGAAGGAGCCATATAGGCCATCTAGTCCAACCTCTTGTTTAATGCAGGATCAGCCTACAGTATCCCTGAGAAGTGTTTGTCCAGACGCTGCTTAAATACGGCCAGTAAGGGGGAGCTCACCAATTCCCTAGGGAGCTGATTCCACTGTTGCACAACTCTTACTGTAAAAAAGGTTCTTCCTAATATCCAGCTGGTACCTTTCAGCCCTTAATTTAAACCCATTATTGTGAGTCCTGTCCTCTGCTGCCGACAGGAACAGCCCCCTGACCTCCTCTAAGTGATAGCCCTTCAAATACTTTAAGAGAGCAATCCTCAGCCTCCTCTTCTTCAGACTAAACATTCCCAAGTCCCTCAGCCTTTCCTCATGGAGCTTGGTCTCCAGGCCCCTGATCATCCTCGTTGCTTTTCTCTGCACATGCTCCATTCTGTCCACATTCTTTTTGAAGTAAGGCCTCCAAGAACTGCACATAATACTCCAGATGTGGCCTGACCAATGCAGTGTACTATGACATCTTGTGAACTGGATGTTATGCCTCTGTTGATACACCCCAAGGTTGTATTAGCTTTTTTTTGTTGCCACATCACACTGGCTGCTCATATTTAACTTTTGGTCTGCCTTTACCCAAAGATCTTGTTCACACACACTGCTACTCAGAAGTGTATCTCCCATCCAGTATGCATGTTCCTCATTTTTGTTACCCAGATGTAGAACACAGCTCTTATCCTTGTCAACTTGCATCTTGTTCACATCCACTCACTTTTCCAGCATGTTCAGATCTCATTGAATTCAATCTCTATCTTCTGGTGTGTTCGCTGCTCCTCACAATTTGGTGTCATCTGTAAATTTAATGAGTAGCCCCTCCACACCCTCATCCAGATAATTTATAAAAATATTGAAAAGTACTGGGTCCAGAACTGAGCCCTGTGGCAACGCACTGGACACCTCCCTCTATTCAGATGAAATGCCATTGACAACTATTCTCTGAGTGTAGTTCTTCAACCAGTTCCCTATCCACCTAACTATCCTAGAGTCCAGTCAACAGTCCTTTAGTTTACCCATCAGAACATCATGGAGAACCCTATCAAAAGCTTTAATGAATTTGTCTAGATCTATATTTATATTTATATCTATATTTATATCTATCTATATAGATGGATACAGGTATTGATAGATGTATTGATATAAGATTACAGTCTGTTGAAGTGTTTCTTCAAGAATAGGAAACAGTTGTTAGAATGCTTTGTGGTGTAGTATGATAATTAGTTGATAATTAATCCGTACTTTGATTACAGTATTTTCTTGATATATGTAGAGAAAATTTAGAATGGATGTGGAAAATTTGGAATGGATTTCTTAAATGATCAGGACACGTTTTGGTGGGTGATACACTCTAAGAGTGATATTCCCCTCATAATTTGTGTTCACAAATAATGCAACAATTGCTTCCACATGAAAGTTTTTCCCCTCTACATTTTCTTCCAAACCAGTCAGGGTTTGTTTGTTTTTTGGTGGGGGGGAGAACATCTGTGTTATATGATGTTATTCTCTAATTGTCATCTTAACAGTTTTTCACCATTCTCACAATGTGATCCCTGTGATCATTTTGGAAGGAACCCTATCCAAACTCATTATCATGCTGTCAAGATAGGAAGGGGCCCATTTTCTTGAGATACTGCCCACACTGGCACCATTTTCATAGCATCTGTTATTCTTTGCTTCACAAACAGAGTGTTTTGAGGTCCTTTTTTTTTAAAGGTCTTTGCTATAGTGCTATAGCAATTAATGTTTTGTTTCTTTGTTTTTAATGATATCTGGTAACATTGTGGGGGAAGTAGTGACTGGTAGTAAAGTGTGCTGAAAACTCCCATTAGGAAGCCCGTTTGCCAGTGCAAATGTACACAGTGATGACAGCAATTGGGAGAATCCTTACTGTGTGGATACAACCAAAGTTCCATGTCGACAGAAAAAAACATAGCAGAATGAAGCTTGAAAGTATATTTTGAAAGAGATGCAATGTTTTAGCAAAATTGGGACATATTGTTTATTAGAACCCCCCCCCCTGCTTTATTGATTTATGATTGAATTCAAATCCAGGATAATTTTGGTTAGAAAGTGTGATCAAAACAGTTCAATACTAAGAGTAACACTCTTCTCATTTCATTGACTAATATGAGTTTAGAAGGGTGTTATTCTGATTAGGGTTGCTCTGTAAATCATCTGCTCTGTAAATGTACAAACAAAGAATACATTTTCTTTTACTTTAATTCCACTCTCTTGGAAGTTTTCCAACACAAAAGGCAATGTGTTTGTGAAGTTAAATGAGCATGCCAACATGCAGCGTGTTTCACATTGTTTTATATGGGAAGGGAAACTCCTCACACAGAGAGGAATTATCCCAGCAGTCATCGCTTCTCATTTCATATTGCACAGTGGACAGCCTTTTCATGTGTAGTGCTCTGATCTCATCTGGTATGTAAAACTGTGGATGGAAATGGACTTTATTTATTGTACATAATTATTCAGGCCATGCTATGTTATGGTTTGAAACACAAGTTATGGAATGATCCCTTCGATTAGTCTTAGGGCTTCTGTGTGTATCCTAATAACAGATAACTATCAAACTGGGTAAATGAGCACTGTGCTGACGAAAGTACACATTTGTATTCTCTTGCAGCCTGATCATAGTGTTACTCTTTGGAAGTCAGTTCCATTCACTTAAGTGGAACTTCATTCCCAAGTTAGGTGCTTTAAGTTTGGCATCATGCTCACTAAGAAGTGAAACGGAATGCAGTGTTACTTCAGTGTATAATTTTAACTGATTAGGACTTGTTGATTTCAGTGGGATTAAAGATGCTTCTGGATTACACCCAATACTGTTCAGTTTGTTAGATATGTATGCTCAATACAGTGCTATTTTAAAAACTATGACAGATGCCCATGGTTATTTGTTGTTTGTTTGCTCGCTTGCTTGCTTTGAAACAGCCTGCCACGTTCATTTCCAGCCTTTACGTCATGTGTGCCTTTTGTCTAAGTGAATGTTACATATTTATTTTTATTTGTCCATTAATCTCTTCCTCTTCAGGTGCAATCTAGCTCCTGTGGTGGAGTTTGCTGCCGATGTGGGAACTAAATCAGATTTTATTACCATGAACCCATCAGTTGTACAAAGAGCATTTGGAGGCTTTCGGAATGAGAGTGACAGAGAAAAATTTGTGCATAGACTATCCATGCTGAATGACAGTGTCCTTTGGATCCCAGCTTTCATGGTCAAAGGCGGAGAGAAGCATGTGGAGTGGGTTAATGCACTAATCCTTAAGAATAAATTGAAAGTGCGAACTGCCTATCCATCACTGAGACTTATTCATGCTGTCAGAGGGTAAGTGTCTGGAAAAGACTGGTCTGTCCTTGGCACAATAGAATTCATAACTAGAATTTCCACTAGACAGAAAGAACAGCTCTAAAAGGTGTATGATAATTCTATTCTAGTCATAATGAATTATATTTTTGAAAAAGTCACGCTTGTTTGGTTGAAAATGTTTCCTAGTCATTTAGAGGCAAACAGTGAGAAGTATTTAATTTGGTGACCTTTCCTCTCTGTATAAATACAAAAGATATAGATACTGAAGGGGAAATGTTTAGACTTTCACTTGCTGTAGAACTAACCAAACATTCTACGTTTGCTGTGATTTGAGCGTTTTGGTCCTATCTGCCAGGCATGTGGGTTGTTGGGGTTTTTTCCATCTTCAATCTTTATGATGTAACAGAGCTTTAGTGTCTTTATTTTTTCCCTTCCACAATCAAACTCAATTGGATTTGTTTGGCTTTGATCTAAGTAGTTTACCAAACACCTAATAGCTTTCATTCCCTGCCCCCAATCTTTTTTTAGTCACCAACTTTTCATATTGATTTAGAATATATGGAAACCTGAACGAAAGGACTTTTAAAAAAGGGGGACTGTTTATTTATTTGTTCAATTTATACCTCACCCTCCCCGCCGAAGCGGGCTCAGGGCGGCTATACTTGGTTGCTTATTCAGGTGTATAAATCATGTTCAGCTTTTGTGTTGCTTTATTCCTTCTTTTTGAGTTTTAAGAACCACCTTAGTCATTTTGTTACTACAGATGGATTCTTAGTCTGTGATGATGTGTTAAGTCCTTCTGGAAGCCCTTCTTCCCCATGTGTACTCCTCTGATGTGTTGCTATAATGCATAGTTTCTTTCCCTGATACAAGTTTTATTTTAAATTTCAGTGGTATAAAATAGCCATTGCTAAAGTTTGTCTGAGCTGACCATTATTTTCAATGCACTGAGCATTGCTCCCCAGCTGATTGAATATGCAGTATAAAATCACTGTATACTTGAGAGTAGAATACTAGCAGCATTTGTGCTGTATGCTACTGAACCGTAACTTAAGTTTGTGTCCAATGGCACCTTTAAGACCAACAAAGTTTTATTCACGGTATAAGCTTTCGTGTGCAAGCATACTTTATCAGATAAGAAGTGTGCTTGCACATGAAAGCTTATACCATGAATAAAACTTTGTTGGTCTTAAAGGTGCCACTGGACTCAAACTTTGTTTTGCTACTTTAGACCAACATGGCTAACCACACCTGAATGAACCATAACTTTTTTCTTCTTCTTTGATGGGCAGGTTGGTCTGGTTTGATTATGATCCCAAAAGAAAGATTTTGTCCGTTTAGTAAGTGTTCTTAATGTTTCCAAATGTCTAATTGTGTCCTAGACTGATAAATCTTATTTTTGTTATATTCACTTATTTCCAAGTAGAAAAAAGTCTTGTCCCATAAGGCGACAGACATTATTCTTTGTCTGTAGCATCGTCACTTTGGTTAGCAACTGTTGGCCTCTGTGAGTAGAGCTGCTTGCTTAGCCATGCTTTACTGATTGCTCTATGAAATGGAGGTATCCAGAACTGATGCCTGGCTCAGACTCACCCAGACCCTCAGCAGTCCCAGTGGGGCCTTCCCCGACAATCAGGCTGGGTGGCACTCACCTGAGAGTGGGACAAGCATATCCAGTTCAGCGGCTGGAAGGAGAACCAAACCAGGTGGGGCTAGTGGTAACTGAGGGCAGGAGTCAGCCTGAGTTTATCCTGACAAGGCCAATGATGTTATTAGCTAGCAACAGCCTGTCAACATCTGTGCCAGAGAGGCGCAGGCCCCAGCAGCCTCCAAGACTGCCAGGGGAGGGGACCCCACCCTCTAGGGAGGACAACACCCTTACCAATGGACCCAGCAGCAGCAGCCCAGGGAAGAAGCCCGGGCAGAGCTGGGCTAGGTCAAGTTTCAGGCTGTGGTTGAGAAAAGCCCTCAGTCATAGGAGGGAAGAGAGAAGCCAGGGTTAGGGTGAGGGATTAAGAAGCAGCCAGCAGCCAGGAAGGGATGGGAGAATGCCCCCCTTAAAGCTCCAGACTGACCAGAACAGGTGCTAGAATAGGGTTGCCAGCCCCCAGGTCTGGGCGGGGGTTCCCCCACTCCTGGGGGCTCAAATGTGCCCCTGGCCAGCCTCAAGCTGCAGCCACCTGCAGCCACTTCTCTCTCCCTGCTAAAAGATTTAAATGGCTTCAGCTGATCGGAGGAGCATGTCACCCACCGACCAACTGGAGGGCCTTTTAAATCTTTTCGCAAGGAGGGAGAGGGGCTGCCAAAAGACCCTCCCACCAATGGCACACACAGGGCTCCTTTCCCAGCGGCACTTCACCTCTTGGGATTCAGGCCCACATATTACTGTCCCACTCATGAATCACCTCTGGGAAAGGAGCTCTGGATGTGCCATGGCCCCCCGTTGGCAAAAAGACCCTTTTTGCCAGCAGAGCTGTGGCCAGTGACATCCCCTCTCTCTCCTTGCTAAGAGATTTAAAGGGCCTACCAACTGGTCAGAGGGCCACGTGCTCCCCTGATCAGCTGAAGGTCTTTAAATCTTTTATCAGGGATGGAGAGGGGTGGCTGTGGCTTGGGGGCGGGGCTTGGAGGTGGGGCTTGGGGGCATCCCTGCCCACCCTGGAACACCCCCAAATCCCCATGCTGTATTGACCAGGGGACCTGGCAACCCTGTGCTAGAATCTGACCAGTAGGGCCAGGATTGACCCTTGGGAGGTGGGACAGGCATCCTTCATAAGGGAAGCTCCAGGGATAGGCCAGGAAGGAAAGGTATGGACAGGACTTCTTGATGGAAGAGAGATAACTTCCAAGGAAAGGGAGAGGATGAAGGTGTTGCAGCCTCCTGTCCCTTCTGTTCTGAGGTCTAGAGGCACTTCCCCAGCATGGGCCAACTTGGCAGAAAGTGGTAGGGTGGGGGCAGTGAGAGAGGAGCCTAACAGGAAGGAAGTCAGTTAGATATAGAACTACTGTTGTAGAAGAAGACTTATACCTCTGCATTAACAAACAATTGTGGCTTGTTCTGCTATTAATTGTAAAACAACTACACCTGACATCTGCATACTGTATAGGTGTGTCATATAAAGGCAGCAATCCTGATGCAACTCTTAAATACTACTGTGGTAAATCTGTCATGAACCATTTTTGTTAGCTGCTTTAGCAAAGCATTACTTCTGCAACAGTGCCATGGAGAAACAACAAAGTATGATGCCAAACTGCAAGAATTGACTGGTTCTGGTTGGGAAGGTATTAGTGATTGATATTAGAAGTAGGGAACCCATGACAGGTGACCAAAGCCTTTTGGTGTAATATGGTGATTTTAATATGCAACTATATTTTATGTGCTTCCCTTTGTGTTCAATAAAAAGTTTGAAAGTACTCACAGTACAACATTACTCGCCAGGTAGTTTTAAAAGTCAAGTTTCAAAGAAGAAAATGTATGGGACATTATGTGGTGGAGAAAATGTATAGGACTTAATTGTTTGAAAGCATTTGCATTTACATTAATAAAAATAACCATCCGCTTCTCCCAAAATAGTAGTCTTCTCTACAATGTTAAATAAAATTGTATTCTCCATAGCTGATCTGCATAACAACTATAGCAATCTTCAGTAATAGCTTAAAGTGCAAAATCTTCAAATAATTCCTGAGTGATGGTAGCTTTAAAGAATATTAATAACCTTGCTCTGTCGCATGTAGGGCCTGGTGAAATGTTGCAGTCTAGGGAGACTGCAAATAATCTCCTATCAAAAGGGGGGAATAAATGAATGTCTATTTACAGGTGGTGTCACTGTGACCACCCAGGCTGCCCCCAGAACGAAAGGGGGTTAAGCCAGTTTGGTGTAGTGGTTAAGTGCACGGACTCTAATCTGGGAGAAGTGGGTTTGATTCTCCACTCCTCCACTTGCGCCTGGCTGGATGACCTTGGGCAAGCCGTAGTTCTGATAAGAGCAGTTCTTGAAAAAAAGAGCAGTTTCTGTCAAGAGCTCTCTCAGCCCCACCTATCTCACAGGGTGTCTATTGTGGGGAGGGGAAGGGAAAGGAGTTTGTAAACTGCTCTGAGACTCCTTTGGGTCTTGGTGGTCTTCTTCTTCTTCGCCAGGGAATTACCAATTCATATCTTACTTGTTCCCCTTGGTAGGAGTGGACAGAGTTGTCATTCTAGTCAATGGATTAGTCAAATATTGTAAATTTTGTCATCTGGATGATGATTCACCATCTCTTTATCTGACTATGGCCAGATAGTCTCTGAAGCCAACCATGACTAGAGTTGCCAACCTCCAGGTGGTGGCTGGGGATCCTTTGGGATTACAGGTGGTCTCCAAGCAATAGAGGTCAGTTCACCTGGAGAAAATGGCTGTTTTGGAAGGTCCACTCTAAGGCATTATACCTTGATGAGGTCCCTTCCCTCCCCAAACCCCACCCTCACCAGGCTCCACCCCCAAAAAAATCTCCAGGTATTTCCCAACCCAAATCTGGCAACCCTAAACCATGACATTGTGTAGGCGGCAGCTGACCTTATCCTCTCATTATGGTGTCATTTGTGAGCTATACTAAGAACTTCTCATGGGATTTAGTGTCTGAACAGGTACAGTTCTGTTCTGTATCATTCTAAATTCAGCCAGTGTGAATTTTGCACTTCAGAGCAAGTACTTTGAAGGAATAATCTTGCTCTTCAACAGAGAGTGATATTGTTCTCATCTGTAGCTTTTGTGCTGTTCAGCACAGCATGATTCTGAAAACAGAAGTCCATAAGTTACTGTCTAATAAGCAAAATTATGTTAAATTAAGGTTTTAGTAGACGCTCCATTTAGTAGATGTTCTCCATTAGATACACCAGTTGTTGGTGGCAGTGTGAAAAATAAATTAAGTATGAATTATAGAAATATTGAAAAGTATTGAAAATGGAAATAAGGCTGATTGTCTAAACCTATGAATTTAAAACAAGTCTTGTGAGTATATCAGACTACACACAATCCTTT